TGCAGGCATAGTGTTCCTTTCCAGGAGCTTCGAATCCTTCGGGCTGCTTCATCAGAATCTCCTCCTCCAAATCGCCATGAAGGAAGGCCGTTTTAACATCCAACTGCTCCAGCTCAAGATCAAAATGTGCTACAATTGACAATAACACACGGATAGAAGTATGTCGAACCACAGGTGAGAATATCTCAACAAAGTCAACCCCTTCTACCTGACTGAACCCCTTAGCAACTAGCCTAGCCTTAAAACGTATTTGCTCAGTTTCCGACAACCCTTCTTTCTTCTTGTAAATCCATTTACAACCCACAAGCTTCCTCCCTTCCGGTACCTTTACCAGTTCCCACACTCTGTTCTTGTAAAGGGACTGCATCTCTTCACCCATTGCGGCAAGCCATTGCGCAGACTCACTACAACTAATTGCTTGTTTATATGTGGCAGGTTCAAATGACTCTACATCATCAGCTACACTCAATGCATAACCTGTCATCGCATCAACACAGCAATTTCTTCCCTCCATCTCTTCAATCAATCTAACAGGCTTCTTGATAACTCGTTTAGGCATCTCAAGAATGGTGTCAGGTTGACTAGATGACCCCTGATTAGATTGCTCCACCTCATCCCCAGAGTTAGAATGAGTAGGAGTAATCTCAGGTTCAGGAGTACCCGGCACTGGAACATCAGCATCATCATCAATATATTGTACCCGAGGTAAATCAGCAATGGTAGACTGATGTACCTCAAGTACCCCATCTGTCTGTAATAAATTGTCTCCTTCCCTTCTCAAATCTGAAATCTCTGCATTTTTAATTGAATACATGGTGTTTTCATCGAAAGTAACATCCCTACTAAGAATGACCCGACCCTCCGAAGGTGAAAAAATTCTAAACCCCTTCACACCATCCCCGTACCCAACAAAACACCCCTTCTTGGCTCGTGGATCCAGCTTACCCTCAATAACATGATAATAAGCAACACAACCAAAAATCTTCAAATTCGAAAAATTAGGCAACTTACCACTCCAGATCTCAAACGGAATCTTGGAATCAATTCCAGAATGAGGACCCCTATTAATGACATAACAAGCTGTTAACACAGCTTCACTCCAGTACCTCCTCCCAAGCCCTGCATTAGAGAGCATGCATCGGACTCTCTCTAGCAGTGTCTGATTAACCCGTTCTGCTACACCGTTCTGCTGTGGTGTCTTCCTGACAGTATGATGCCGACCTATACCCTCATCTGCACAGAACTGATTAAACTCGTCTTTGCAAAACTCTAGCCCATTGTCCGTTCGTAGCTTCTTGATCTTCCTTCCTTGTCGATTTTCCACCAAAGCTTTCCATTGCTTGAAAACTTTGAAGGCCTCATCCTTTGACTTAAGCAACCTAAGCCATGTGTATCGGGACTTGTCATCAACAAATGACACAAAATAGTGGTAACCTCCCATACCTTCAACTCTAGATGGACCCCAGCAATCTGAATGGATGTAATCGAGCACTGCATCAGTAATGTGAGCACCCTTGCTGAACTTTGACCTGTGTTTCTTACCAAACACACAATGCTCACAAAATTCAAGGTTGGCAACCTTGACCCCGGATAGAAGACCCCTCTTGGACAATAGCTGCATCCCCTTCTCCCCCATATGACCAAGCCTCATGTGCCAAATCTTAGTCATCTCCTGGTGAGATACAGATGCGCAAACCGCAGAACTAGGCAGTGTAACACCCTCAAAAACATAGAGGGTGTTCCTTTTGATACCCTTAAGTACCAACTCCGAACCTCTGAAAATACACAACTCCCCATCTGAAAACACACCATTGTACCCCAAGTCATCCAGGGTACCCAATGAAATCAGATTCTTTCCTAAAGCAGGAACATGCCGTACATTAGTCAAAGTTAACCTCCGCCCATCAACAGTCCTCAACCTCATGGAACCAATACCTGTGACCTTACATGGAGCATTGTTACCGACTATAACCATGCCCCCATTGCGAGGTTCATATGTATCAAACCAATCTCGACGTGGACACATATGGAACGAACACCCTGAATCTAGAACCCAGTTATCAGATAAATCATCAGACCTAGCAGAACTGACTAATGCTAAATCTTCCTCTGAATTATAGCTCTCATTCGGTTTCTCTTCAACTACAGCAGCCTGGGACTTGTTTTTCCTCACCGGACAATTATTCCTAAAGTGACCCGGTTCTTTACAGTAATAACATGTTTTAGTAGTAGTTTTACTAGATCCATCCTTGCCGTTTCCAGCACCCGACCCAGCATTGTTCCCCTTGTTAAACCCCTTATTCTTTTTAGACTTTCCGGACTTAACAAACAACCCACTACCATTATCCCCATTATCACTCGTAGCTTTCATTCTGAGTTCCCTAGTATGAAGTGCTGCCTTCACTTCTTCTAAGGTTATAGAATCCTTACCAACAACAAAAGACTCTACAAAATTCTCAAAGCTAGACGGTAGAGATACAAGTAAAATCAACGCAGCATCCTCATCATCAATTTTAACATCTAAATTACGTAAATCAAGCAAAATAGAGTTAAGTTTTTCTAGATGTTCCCGTAAGGAAGTACCTGACTGCATCCGGAGGCTAAACAACCGCTGTTTCAGTAATAATTTGTTGGTCAACGACTTAGTCATATACAATGACTCCAGCTTCAGCCACAATCCAGCCGCCGTTTCCTGATCAGCAACCTCCGTGATGATTTGATCATCAAGACTAAGTAATATGGTAGAGTGTGCCTTCTCTTCCATAACTTCTAACTGCGAGTCAGTCGGTCCGTCTCCTGACTCCGAAGTAGTACTCTTTGGAGCCAACGGACGCCATATCTGCTGTTGTTTTAACAGAGCCTTCATCTTAATTTGCCATAGCCCGAAACTATTTTTCTCGGTAAACTTCTCAATTCTTATTGTTGAATCTCCTGCCATTGTTATCTTCAAGAAACTCTCCAAGGATTGAACCTGAGCTCTTGATACCAATTGTTGTGCGACAGCGGAAGCAAAGGTCGTAAACAAACAAGAAAACAATAAAGAAATTCAATGCAAACAATAAGAACAACACCAAGAATTTACGTGGTTCACTATCGATGTGATAGCTACGTCCACGGGCACCGAGATCGAATGATTTCACTATAAACTGCAATGTAGACAAAGATGATTCTTGTATTTCTCAAGAACGGCTCTCACTCTGTCTCTCTTAACCCTAATACTGATATTAGGGAGGTTTTATATTAATCCCTAAAATAAAAGATACTTGGGCAAAAAGATAACATAAAAGATAACTTTAAATCGTAAAATCCGCGTCTCCGCATTTTTCCTTCTCCGCCCGGTCAGACCGGGCAAGGTCTGCCCGATCGGGCGCGAGAAGAAAACTCCATACGAATGCTTCAACGTATCCAACCCCCACCGCCCGGTCAGACCGGGCAAGGTCTGCCCGATCGGGCGAAGGCTCGCCCGGTCGGGCGAAGGCTCGCCCGGTCGGGCGCGAGAGCAGCTTCTTCAACGAATTTGCCAGGCACCTCTTCTTCTTCCGCCCGGTCAGACCGGGCAATGTCCGCCCGATCGGGCGGACAAAGCTACGAAGTACGAGTCACCTAATATACTTATCAACACAAATCTCTGCCAACTGCACGTTAGGGTGAGGATCCTTTATCCATTTCTTCTCACTTTCAAGTAATCCTAAAATACGAAGTAATTAAAGTTGTTCTTTTGTCAAGGGCTTTCCACGCTTGCTTGTACTTCTTCACTCCTAGCTATCAATTATTTATTAATTGAGTGAAATTATCAATCATGCTTATTCGATATCGGTATTGGTGGATTGTAATGTCATTTTCTATTAAATGTGCATGAGAGCTTAATTGTGATAATTGAAAATAATCACCAATTTTTTTTAAAATATCTGTAGATAATGTCACCGCACTACAATCCACCATACGTACACTTTGTGCTCCAAACTCTAGTCAATTCATGTTGCAAATCTATCACCAAATTTTGGTAAAATATCTATTCCAAGAAGATCATGAAAAAATATAACGCCACATAAATCTTAGTTACTTCTTCCAATTTGATTTTTTTTGTTCTTCTTGTTTTAACTTTTATGTCTCCTACAAGTAAAATATTTCAAATGGGAAAAAAATCAGAGAAATTAATAATATTTTGTTACTTTATTTCTTAAAGGGAAAAAAAAGTAGCATTATAAAACAAACAGGAAACACTCAAGAAAAAGAAAAATGTATTGATTAACTAGTGATACCCTGTCAAATATATGGTATATCTGTTGATGGAAGGAGCTTAGTTATTTGAGAGTAAGTGATAGCTCAGTTGGTTAGAGCTTCTCTTCAGTTTCAGAAAAAAAAAAATGTAACTAGTTATTTGAGAGTTCGGTTGATGACTACGACCCCAATCTCTTCACTTAATATTTACTAATTTAAAATTATTTTTATTAAATTACTTCCTTCATTTTTTAATATTTGACTTATGCACTATTCTAAAACATTATTTGCCTTCAATTTTTATTATTAAAATATAAATAAGTATTATTATATAATATATCATTAGATTAGTTATAATGTTTATTTTTATAAATATTTTGTAAGAAATATTTTACTTTTAGACAATTAAAAATTTTAAGGGTCAAATTTATGTCTCCGCAAATGTACTGGTCAAAATGATGCAAATATTAAAAAAACAAAGTGTTAGTTGAGACGAACACTACAAGAAGGGGGGGTGAATTGTATGTGAGTTCCTAGTGACTACTTTTGCGGAATCAAAACATAATATAAAAGGAACTTAGCAAAGCACACAAGATTTTACGAGGAAACCTTCCAAGGCCCAACTGGAAGTAAAACCTCGACCCTACAAGGGATTTCAAGCACCAAACCGATTCACTATAATAGGGCAAACTCTCCTAGTTACAACCTATTATAATCAAACCTTTACTCACAAGTTCCAGGCTAAACTTGCTACACAGTAAAACCTTATTCTACCCAACCTAAGTCCCTGACTTAGATTCACTCAGCATTCCCGGAATGCTCACACACTCAGCTTCAACCTTGAAGCCTACAATCTGTATGCAATACGCTTAACACTTCACCCAATAACAAAACAATACAAACTCCTGACTCTAATATGTGATTGAAAAGCTACACATGAAATCCGAAACTAATATGACAAAGTTTAGACTTGGCAAACTTACACTTTGAGCTCTCTTCAAATTCTTCACACATAAACTTAAAAAGTTGCGCTAATTATTAATTCTCCCTTATATACAAGTTATAATTGTATGTAAAGTAGGGTTTTCAAAAGATAGAAATTATAAAACTGTCGTTTTCATAATCACAACTTTTATGTAAATCTTTTTACAAGAAAATCTTTATAGAAAACTTATAAAGATATAATTTTAAGAAAAGAATAACATTTTGTAAAACCGGATTTTATAAAATAAAATCTTTCAAAAATCTTTTCTTAAAATTAAAACTTTTCTTTTATAAACTTTCCATTTTTAAAGCTTACCAAGCTTTGTCACGCTTCTAATAAATTCCATGCATAAACTTTCCTAACATATTTACAATAATCCTTAGATAAATAAACTTAACAAAAAAAAACTTATATTCTTTAGCTGGAATATCTCATCAAACGCTGTATTGTAAGGATACTTGGGATTCACGCAGACCAGGACTAAGTTTCGGCTGTCCTTCATTCTCCAGCTCCTTGCTGGAACTTCGCAGGTCAAGTTCTTATAGAACTTGCTGTCCACTACTAGAAAACAGGCTATTTCCGACAAATTAGTTCCGATTAACACGTAATTCCGTCGGAAGATTCAAAATTCCCGACGGATTTTTATTCCGTCGGATATTTCCGACGAATTCAACATTTCCGTCGAAGGAATATAAATCCGTCGGAATATATGTACATTCCGACGAATTATATTCCGTCGGAAATTTCCGTCGGTATATATATATATATGTATATATATATGTATATATATATGTATGTATATATATATATATATGTATATATATATATGTATATATATATATATATATGTATATATATATATATGTATATATATATATATATATATTATATATATATATATATATATATATGTATATATATATATATGTATATATATATATATATGTATATATATATATATATGTATATATATATATATGTATATATATATATATATATATTTATAAACCCCTCATTTAAAACAAAAAAAACCCTAATGCATCCCTCTTTCTCAGTTTATCTTTCCGCCTCCTCCTTCTTTCTCTCTCCTGTTCTTTTTCCTCTTCGATCTTTTCATTCTTTTTCCTCTTAACTTTCTTGCCTCTTCCTTCTCTCCTATCTTTTATTCTTCTTTCCCCTCCGATCTCAAACCACCACCACCGCCGCATCTTTCTTCTTTCCCCTCCGATCTCAAACCACCACCACCGCCGCATCTTTCTTCTTTCCCCTCCGATCTCAAACCACCACTGCCCACAAAACCGGCGCAACAACAACAACAATACCGGCGCAAAAACAACAACAATACAGTCGCAACAACAACCACAATACAGCCGCAACAATGATGCAGAAAAACAACAACGACTCAACAATATCCAGATCTTTTTTTTTTAATTTTGAATTTTTTTTTTTAAATTTTGAAAATAGTTAATTTTTGATGTCATTGTAATGTTAGTTTATTAATCATTGTTTAGTAATTGTATATTTATTTATTTCTTTAAATTGTTTTGGGTAATTTTGTTGTTTTGTTTTGGTAATTTTTGGTTTTTTTGGCTAGTTATAGTTGCTAATTTTTTTTGGTAATTTTCGTGCTTGTTTTGGTAAATTTAAATATTTCTGGTTAAATTCTGGTGGTGGTGGTTTAGGTTTAGTGTGGGTGGGGTTTGGTTGGGGTGGTTTCGGTTGTGGGTTAGGGTTATCAGTGGCGGTGGTTTCAGTTGTGGTGGGTTTGGGTTTCGGTTGTGATGGTTTCGGTGGTGGATCTAGGTTGGTGGGGATGGGTGAGTTTAGGTGGTGGCCGGTGGGGGATGAATTGCGATGGTGGTGGGGTGATTTTTGACGGTGGCTTAGGAGGAGAGGAGGTCAGTTTGAGGGTGGGGCTGATTTTTATTTTTTATTTTTATTGACTTTTCCGATGGAATTTCCGGCACGGAAATTTTCGACGGAAAACAATTCCGTCGGAAATTTCCGTGCCGGAAAATCTCTTCCGATGCCTTGATTCCGTCGGAACAGGTGTTTCCGACGGAAATTTCGTCGGAAAAAAGTCGTTTTTCCTACAAACACTCTTACGACGATAGTTTCTGACGGATTTTAGGGTGTTTCTGATGGAAAAATTCCATCGGAAATTGCCTGTTTTCTAGTAGTGGTCTTCAATGCAGACCAAGCAAGTTCTTATAGAAATTGTTATGTTCAACGCAGACCAAGTTAATCTTCTTAACTTGCTGTCAAGCTCCTGTTAGGGAATTTCTCATCATGTTCCTGTTAGGAAACCCAGTTAGTGTTAGGGTTTACAATGATTCTACACAACAAGAATCAAATAAAGAATTGGTGGAACAAACCCTAGAATGTGTATAAGTTTCAAGGAAACATACAACACCAAATACTTCAAGTAGTATTACAAACCAAGCACTAAATTAACAAAGTAATTCAGAAAATACAACACAATAACACTAATGTGAAAGTTTCTTAAACTTGCCTCACTCCAAGCCGAACACCACCAAGAACATGAGAAATTCAATGACCACGTGAGTCTTCTTTACCGGATACTTGTCTAAGGCGTGTATACACTTTCCTAAAGTGATAATTTCCCCCACCACAGTGCTTGGGTTGTGACCGAAAACTCACTTTGAGATACAATAGACAACACCACACACTTAGCACAAAGTTGTGTGATAAGATGGTTAAATTCTCAATGAAATAACTTAATTGATAGAGTATTTCAAGAAGAGATTGCAAGTTTCTTGATGAAATTGTGAAGAAAAGGGAAAAACTTAGAGAGGAAAACCAGAGAGAGCAAAGCATTCTTGCGTTTTTCTTTTAATTTCGCAATTAAAAGAATAAACGAATCTGCAACTGCCAGGAGGAGCGGGCGCTCCACCAGAAGGAGTGGGCGCTCCACCAGAGGAGCGGGCGCTCCTAATGGCCCCGCAGGCGCGGCATTTCAGCCCGCGGGCGCGGACAGGGAAATCACATATTTCACCAAACTTTCTAGAGATGCCTGGCCGCGCCCATGCCGCGGGCGCGGCCACCATGTCGCGGGTGCAGCTCATAAGGCCGCGGGCGCGGCTTTCCGTGGCTTCCAAACGCGGCCTCTCCACAAAAAGGAGAGGGCTCTTTTCTACCACACTCTAAATTTCCAACAATCCTCCCCCATTTAGAGTGTGTAATTTAAAACTTTCTCCACTTCTATCAAAAAAGTCACATCTCATGCATCAATGTCAATGTCCCTTCGGATTGAATTGACACCTAGTACAACACACTTAACGATGATCATATTCCGTGATTTCCATATGGATTAAATCACACGAATATATCCAACCATTCGAAGGTGAAATACACATAAGATAACTCGAATTTAACATCACTTGACACTTTTATACAGCCATGTGTCCGTATATTTCATAAGTTCATCAAAGTCTATATGTCCATCTAGACTTCTTTAAGCGGCTAAAATTCGAACTTATATAGGTAGGTTCTCATATACGTAAGTGTGTCCTTGTGACAAGACACTTTCATTTAGAGCTTCTCAACTCTAAATCTTTGAGAACTTTGAATTGACGCTACCTTACCATCACAAGTAACATAGAAATATGGGTCATTAAATATTGCTAACAAACAACAAAGTTGTAATTCAACCATAGACTTGATGTTTCTTCAAGCGTTAGATTGGGTTTTACAACTTTGTGCTATAGGACATAAACCCATTCCAGCCAAAGAAAATATGATGGAATGTCTTGGCATTGCTTTAGTAAAGCAATCCGCCAAATTCATTTTCGTAGGAACATAGTCAAGACTTATGACCCCATCATTGATAAGCTCTTTCACTAGGCTATGCCTTAGTGAAATATGCCGAGACTTACCATTATACACTTGACTATAAGCCTTTATTAAAGCTGATTTCGAATCACAATGAATAGCCACCGGTGAGATTGGCTTAGGCAATAAAGGCAGCTCTAACATGATATTTCTCAACCACTCAGCTTCCTTACTAGATGAGGCAAGAGCTATAAACTCCGCTGCCATAGTGGAATCAGCAATGCAAGTTGTTTCTTGGAAGACCATGAAATGGCACCTCCCCCAAACAAAAACACCCAACCACTTACAGAAGAGTCATCCTCTTTGTAAGTGATCCAACTTGCATCCGAATATCCTTCTAAAACCGAAGGAAATCCACTATAAGACAAACCATAGTCCAACGTACCTTTAAGGTACCTCAAGACCCTCCTAACTGCAAACCAATGCTGTGCACCCGGGTTACTAGTAAATCTACTTAGTTTTCCCACAGCCAATGCAATATCTGGTCTTGTACTTGTCATGGCATACATCAAGGATCCAATTATCCTTGAATACTCCAATTGGGAAACCGTTTTTCCCGAATTCTTAACCAATTTTACATTGGGTTCCATGGGGGTATTCACGGGACACTTATCAAACATATTGAACCGTTTGATCATTTTCTCAATGTAATGAGATTGGCTTAACATAAGCCTTCCATTGTCCCTAATTATCTTGATGCCCAAAATGACATCCGCCTCCCCCAAATCCTTCATCTGAAAAGACGAGGATAAGAATTCCTTGGTCAATTCTACTTGTTGTAGACTTGTACCAAAAATAAGCATATCATCATTGAATCCAAAGGACAAAATCGTGTCATCAAACTTTCGATGCCACTGCTTTGGTGCTTGTTTAAGTCCATACAATGACTTAACCAATTTACACACCTTATTTTCCTGTCCTTCCAAAACAAACCCTTTGGGTTGTTTCATATACACTTCTTCCTCTAGTTCTCCATAAAGGAATGCCATTTTGACATCCATTTGATGGATTACTAGATTATATACCGAAGCCATTGCAATTAACAACCTTATCGATGTTATTCTTGCAACCGGTGCATAGGTGTCAAAATAATCAACACCATGCTTTTGCCTAAAGCCTTGGATAACCAATCTGGCTTTAAATTTCACTATGTAGCCATCTGGTCTCCTTTTCCTAGTGAAAATCCACTTGCAACCAAGTGGTTTGCAACCGGGAGGTAAATCCTCTATGACCCAAGTGTCATTTCCCATGATGGAATCCATTTCATCATTTATAGCTTCTTTCCAAAATGCACTATCTTGGGAAGATATAGCCTCGCTATAAGTTTTTGGGTCACTATCCACATTAAAACAATATGGAGTAGTGGAACTAAGGACATCTCTAGATCCTTCAACCAAATAAATTATGAAGTCATCTAGAGGATTCCTAATTTTCCTTTGTCTTTTACTTCTTCTAACATGAGGAGTCTCATCCTCATTATTAGATGAACCTTCATGAGAAACATGTTGATCATCATAATCAACAATTTCCTTTCCTTTGGTACTAACTTGTAGATCCTTTGGTCTACTCATTGATGAAAACTGATTTTCATCAAAAATTGCATCACGTGACTCAATAATCGAATGTTTCGAAACATAGTCACTTTGTTCTATCACATAGAACCTATAGGTTTTGCTATGCTCAGCATAACCTATAAAAATGCATTCCAAGCCCCTTTCACAAAGCTTTCTTTTCTTGTTGCCGGGCACTCTAACGACTGCCCTACAACCCCAAACCTTGAGATACTTCAAGTTTGGTTTCCTTTTATACCAAAGTTCATAAGGAGTGGAATCCTTTCCCTTAGTGGGAACACGGTTAAGTATGTGACAAGCCGTCAACATAGCTTCACCCCAAAATCCCTCACTCAAACCGGAGTAAGATAGCATGGAATTAACCATTTCTTGAAGAGTTCTGTTCTTCCTTTCAGCTACACCATTTGATTGTGGTGCATAACCAGCTGTAGTCTCATGAATAATACCCAAAGATTGGAAATAAGCAGGATCATAGTACTCTCCTCCCTTATCGGTTCTCAATTTCTTAATAAAAGACTCTACTTGCACCTCAACCTCTTTCTTATAAATATCAAATTTAACCAAGGCTTCATCTTTGGAATATAAAAGATACACATAGAAAAATCTTGAAAAATCATCAATAAACGTAACTATGTATCTTTTGTTTCCCAAAGAAGGTGTACTATAAAAGTCACACAAATCACTATGAACTAATTCTAAGATCTTAGAACATCTTTCAACTTTCTTGAAAGGAGTTCTAGTGATCTTATTAAGCATGCAAGTAGTACATTTATCAAGAGCAATATCACATGGAGGAATAAGTTCTAATTTAGACATAAAAGACAACTTATTGTAATTCACATGACCTAATCTAGAATGCCATAAAGAAAACAATTCATACTATTGTCATTACCAACATTAAAACAAACATCATCCAACATTACAGACCTCTCTCTTAAAGAGAGTTTAAACAAACCATGAGACAAATAACAACGTCCAACAAAAGTGCTACCCTTAGTTATAATACATCTATCTGCTTCAAAAACTAGTCTATATCCAAGTCTATTCAGGGTTGGGCCTGATACAAGATTTCTAGAAATACTAGGAGCATATAATACATCCCTAAGGATGATACTTTTTCCCGAACTAAACATCAGCTCAACTTGTCCTCTTCCTTAGACCATGATGGTAGAGTTGTTTCCCATAAAGAGCTCTTCTCCATCACCAACCTTGTGAAAGGTTTTGAACCAATGCTTCACCTTGCATACATGCCTTGAAGCCCCCAAATCCATCCACCATGAGTCATCATCCTGCACCATAAAAATGTTAGGATCTGTTGCATTTAAATCCATACCGGAATTAAATTCAACCTCATGTAATAAATTACCTTTGGTGGGTTGATCATTGCTCTTAGAAGCTTGACCATCCTTGGATTTCTCCATTTTCTTCTTGAAAATGTAGCAGTCCTTCTTGCGGTGTCCAGTCTTACCGCATTCCCAACAAGCATACTTGTTGTTGTCCTTTTGTTTCTTGGACTTGCCCTTAGAGGAATTAAACTTTTTCCTCTTACCACTAGTTGAAGCACTAGATTTGCCTTCCTCCACCACGTTAATGGTTGAAGAGCTTGGATTTCCATCCTTAGCCTTCTCCATGGCTCTTATCCCTTCTTCAATTTGAAGATGGGTAGCCAAATTGGACAAAGATATGTCCTCCTTTTTGTGTTTTAAGTCATGCTTAACATCTTTCCAACTATTGGGCAGCTTATCAATAATACTCGAAACAACAAACAATTCATCAACATTGATACCATGTTGTTTCAAGTTACTATAAATACGTTGTATCTCATGAAACTGGTCCATAATCGATCTACCATCAACAAATTTAAAGTCATTAAAGTTACTTACAAGAAATTTCTTGCTTGAGGCATCCTCCGCCATGTACTTACTCTCCAATGATTCCCATAGCTCCTTAGCAGACTCGACATGTTGATACACATAGAACAAATCATCCTCCATCCCATTGAGAATATGACCCCGACATATAAAGTCATCATTATCCCATTTAGATTTCTCACGCACATCCTCCATTGATTCATTCTCATGTTCAATCGGTCTAGGAGTGCTAATCACATAGGCAACCTTCAACGATGTAAGAAGAAAATACATCTTCTTCTTCCATCGTTGAAATTCCACACCGTCAAACTTCTTGAGTTTGACAAAATTTGTGGTAAGTTCTTTCACACTAGACATGTTGTTCAAACAATTTATCACTTTAGATTGTTAGGGTTTACAATGATTCTACACAACAAGAATCAAATAAAGAATTGGTGGAACAAACCCTAGAATGTGTATAAGTTTCAATGAAACATACAACACCAAATACTTCAAGTAGTATTACAAACCAAACACTAAATTAACAAAGTAATTCAGAAAATACAACACAATAACACTAATGTGAAAGTTTCTTAAACTTGCCTCACTCCAAGCCGAACACCACCAAGAACATGAGAAATTCAATGACCACGTGAGTCTTCTTTACCGGATACTTGTCTAAGGCGTGTATACACTTTCCTAAAGTGATAATTTCCCCCACCACGGTGCTTGGGTTGTGACCGGAAACTCACTTTGAGATACAATAGACAACACCACACACTTAGCACAAAATTGTGTGATAAGATGGTTAAATTCTCAATGAAATAACTTAATTGATAGAGTATTTCAAGAAGAGATTGCAAGTTTCTTGATGAAATTGTGAAGAAAAGGGAAAAACTTAGAGAGGAAAACCAGAGAGAGCAAAGCATTCTTGCGTTTTTCTTTTAATTTCGCAATTAAAAGAATAAACGAATCCGCAACTGCCAGGAGGAGCGGGCGCTCCACCAGAAGGAGCGGGCGCTCCTAATGGCCCCGCGGGCGCGGCATTTCAGCCCGCGGGGGCGTACAGGGAAATCACATATTTCACCAAACTTTCTGGAGATGCCTGGCAGCGCCTATGCCGCGGGCGCGGCTCATAAGGCCGCGGGCGCGGCTTTCTGTGGCTTCCAAACGCGGCCTCTCCACAAAAAGGAGAGGGCTCTCTTCTAACACACTCTAAATTTCCAACAGTTAGTTCCATCGAGGAATTCTTCTTCTACTTTATTTACTTTCCTATGGATCTCCTTGAGTCTTCATAAATAGGTTACTCTTCCACTTCCAAAGTTAACTTCACCTATCTTAATCAAACACTTAGAGAAATTGCATTAGTTGAAATTTGCTTTTATTTATCATCATCAAAACTCTTAAGCTTCAACACAAAGAGTTTTTTTTTTTTTTTTTACTTTATTTAAATTTTTTTGCTGTACTTATTTATATTGGAATTTATTAATTTTGCCAAATATAATTATTTTTACAGGATTGTATTGTACTTAGGTCTTGCTCTCTTTACCCTATTGAAGTAATAGGAAGAGTACTCAGTAATAAGTAAAATAATTTAACTAAAATTAAGTTCAGCTATTTAAAATACGTTAAATTAAATTGTCGCCGATATTCTGATGGCTTTGGCCGGCCATCAGTGCCCTAAAAAATTACGACAGCCAATCAAAGTCGTCGGTAAATTTGCTCTTAACAACCAAAACCGTCGATAAATATGAAATTACCAACAATGGCACACGGTTTTGCAGAATGTACAAAAAGAAGGCAGTAGCTACTGTCTTGTGGAGACGCTACCTGCACGGTCCTGTAGAAATCCGGCACAGACGTGCCAAGGTCTGCACGGACGTGCCGAATTCTACACGGACGTGTAGACCTGGGACAACAAATCTGCAACTTCTCTTGCACGGACGTGCCAAGGTGTGCACGACCGTGCAGGGTCTTCATAAGGTCCCTTTTGCTTCTCTCTTTATTCTTGCTTCTTCATTAGCTACCAAGGCTTCATTTCTTCTTCTCGTTGCTTCTTAGTTCCTTGCTCACTTGTCGGGATGCTTCAAAGTCCCTTTTCTTGGTCCTAAAATAGCATAAAAAACAATAACAACCCCGTGAAGTACATAATACACAAAAATGTATAAATGCATAAATATAGAGTAAATAGTGAAATAAAACGTCAATTTCTCACGACACTAGGGCCCAAAACCACTCTACAATCATACCAAAATACAAGCTATCTATCAAATCATCCAATTATCGATGGCTAAGCTAGCCGTTAGTACGCCAGTATCGAGGAAATTTTTAATTTTTATTTTTTATTTTTTTGTCGTTTACCGTCATCAGGTATTCAGTACTTGTTTTGTTGTTGTGGAAGCCGTTAGTATATTGTGGAATGCATGGGTTCAACCTAATATAGTAATATATACCAATAAAGGCAATAATAATCGAGGACATTGTAATGGTCTTATTTACTAACAATTTAATGGAAAATAGATTTTTTTGGTGTCCCAACCAATTTATTCTTTGGCATGGGCTAATCCAAATTTGGGGATTAATTTTGGGTGGTTAGGTTTCAGTCCCCTCCCAATTGTTGTTGTGGGGGATCGAACACACAATACTACCTACCAAGTCAAGACTCAATCGCCACTGCACCAATAGCCAATTGATTTAATAGAAAATAGATGTGATTAAAATATTTAATTTGGAGAATTCTCCGATTATAATAGAAAAGTATGAGTATATAATGTAACTAAAGATACTAAAACGAACAAGTAGTATATGGTTACTATAGTAGAAAAGTACTAGGTTACAAATTACAATATTTTGCATACATTGATACATAACACGCAATTATTCTTAGCAATTTTAAACATTGAAAGTTTATCTCTTAATTTTTTTTCAAGTAATGTAAGATATATTTATAGGACAATTTTGCAATAACTACACAATTTTTGTAGTCATTACAATGTTTGAATCACTACCTTTTTTTTCTAATGTATAGTTGTTATTTATTGTTACATGAAACTTGTTCAATATTCATTCCCAAAATAATAATAATAATAATAATAATAATAATAATAATAATAATAATTGCTCAATATTCTTTCCATATTTTGGTAAATCAAAATTGTACAAATCATATCACGATTTGGTAAATACCCTAAATATTATGTGCATCTTGTGTAATAATCTTTATTTGACATAAAAAAAATTTTTAAAAAAAGAAAGTGAATTTTAAGGGAAAAAATAGCTTCAAGAAATGCCATATGTCATTTACAGTGTCTTTTAGTATTAAGTTATTGATTGATTGATGCCAAGCATACTAAAAAAGAAATGAGGTGGTGAATATGATTTGGATTGTGATATGCGGTCAATTGACTGTGTTAATTATTACGTCATAATACATCAAAGTATTAATTTTGTTTGCTACTTCCTAGCTTAATCAATTGATTAAGTGATGGTACTTAGGATTTTAACTATTGGGTTGACGGATCCAATTGATGGATCAATTTAATTTCCCATTGATATGGATGTCTTGTAATAATGATAATTAGGTGAGATTTTCACTACATTTAATTCCCATTGATATGGATGGTGATCAATTGATTAAGTGATGATACTTAGGATTTTAACTATTGGGTTGACGGATCCAATTGATGGATCAATTTAATTTCCCATTGATATGGATGTCTTGTAATAATGATAATTAGGTGAGATTTTCACTACATTTAATTCCCATTGATATGGATGGTGAGATTTTCACTACTACTAATAGAGAGGGAAAAGGAGGGAAGTTGAAGAGGGTTACGTCACAATTGAGTGGTTGTGCAAAGAGTTGGTAAAATTTGACGTTGTAAAGAATCGTTGGCGGTAAAATAAAATAAAAAACTGTTGGTGATTACTAAAACAACCACAATAGTAGGAGGTAATTATCAAATTTTCCTTTATTTATTCATTTATTTAATGACAGGAACTACTCTTTTATTTATATGTACTATAACTATAACGTACCTGTGCTAAAAAATGGAGTATATATATTTCTTGCGACGAAAAAAAACTTTGAATAACTTTTATAGATAATTATGGGTGGATTTTTTTTTTAAGAAAACAAAAGTAATTAGCTAGTGTTGTTTCTTATTTTAAAATATATAGAAGTGGAAGTTATGGTTATATTTTTTAAGGAAAAAAAAAAGTGTACGTGCATAGATTTTGAGATTTGGAGTTTTGGAGTGATTTGGATAAAAGTTGGGAGAAAAAACTTTACAATTATATAATAGAAACGTCTACTAGTTCAACTTCAAGTAATTTGCAACTTTAAAGGAAGAGCCCCACCACCCCCCCCCCCAATCAGGCATCGTACCCTGTCTCTTGATATTTTAGTTATTATAACTAGGTTCGAGCGATGTCCCGTGTCATTATTGTATATAAAAAATTATAATAAAGTAAAGTGAAATAATATATTGGTGGTTTTATAAAAACAAAATATCATTTATTTGCTAATTTTTTCAAATATTAGTGAACATCAGTTTTTTTTTTTTTTTTTTTTTTAATTTTATTTAATCTAAATGTTTATTGTATCTAATAATTTGTTTTTATTTGTTAAAGAGATTTTTATTCTTCAGTTGTCATAAAAAAAATTCCTTGAGGTCGGGGTTACTTATAGGGGTTACTTATTCGGTGGTTATTATTCAAGGTTCGGTCGGTCAGGGGTTACTCGACCAGGAGTTACTTATTCAGGGGTTATTCGGTTGGTCAGGGGTTACTCTCATACAGAAAACGCGCTTACCGACTGAGTAACCCCAAAATAAGTAGCCCCAGACCGACTGATCTGAGTAACCCCTAAATAAGTAACCCCTGAATAAGTAACCGCGGCAAAAACGTGTTAACTGTCTGAATAAACTTAGAATAAGTAACCCTTGACTGATTGAGTAACCCCTGAACAAGTAACCCTGGTCGCCACACGGTATGACCAGTAACACAGAAAATAAAAGCACCGAAACATATATTGTGGTTAAAAAAACATTTAAAATTGATATACATTTTTGGGTTACATATTTTAAATAACTATAAATTATATGAATTATAAGTGAGTAATCGATAGAAATAAAATTAATTTTTAATATTGTTGTTAAAATATACACATATAAGATATAAGTTGACAATTAAAATTTTAGAATTAATGAACATAAATAACTCTTTTTAATATAACTTTATTATTATAAGATGTGTCATTGGAGTGTTGGTTAAAGTCATTTGAATATGAGGTCATGGTTTCAAATATTAATGCTAACAAATTATAATTTCTTAAGAAGAAACATTAGAGAACGATAATAGCATGACACGACCCCGCA